CTGTAAGCGTGCTCTCTCAACCTGTCGTTGAGACAGCGGCCCGTCTGGCCAACGTAGCGCCTGCCACACGTTCTTTTGTTCGTGACACCGCAAATAAATATTGCGAGTTTGCGTTCAATAAACTCAGTTGTAAGTCAGCGCTACGTCCGTGTCACTTCTTTGTCTGGTCCTCGTCTTTCCGCGCTGTTTTTAATTTCCGAAGTATGTACCAACTCGCCCAAGCCTCAACTTTAGCATCATTCATTTCTAGTACAATGGGCCCTTTTAATTGTTTCACTGTTCAGCCTTGTTTCATCGTCGCCGTCTACGCCATCGCCGTCTGCAACGCACGAAGATTCTCATTTCACGTTCGCCACCGGCAGCTTCCTCCAGAGATCATCCTACTCTTCGGCGGCTTCAAACCCTCGCAGGGGCACGGAGTCAGGATGTGCAAGGTCCTCAGTTCGGAATGGCATCGACAGGCCCGCTTCTACAAGGAGTGCCTTTTTCTCATGCTTCAAGGCACGACTTCCAACGGTCACGGAGGCAGGAGGTGGCGTGAGTACCGCGAACTCGCTGATGCTACTGCTGAGTTCCATTGGCGACGCATGCTTTCGGAGCTACGTGCTTCGGCTCCCAAGAGGGCTGCGCCAAGCAGGTCCACCGTCCACACGCTGGGTCAGGTCTCCCTGCCTGAGAGCATCCATCGTGTTTTGGACCGGGGTCCAAAGTTTGCCGTGGAGCCGAAGAAATCGCGGGCGGAACTTCTGAGCCTCGTCCGGGATGTTGCCAGGAAAGTTCCGGAAGCGGAGGCCGAGAGGTGCGTCTCTGAGGGACTGGATGTGTTGACCAGACGCACGCCTGGCGCTAGCAAGATCCCGGTTAAGAAGGTGTCAACCTTTTTGAAAGATAACTCTTTGTCTTTATTAGCCTCAGATAAAGAAGGGGGGTTCCTTGTCCTTCCAGTTGACCTTTATAATCCAAGGCACTTGTGGCTATTTCGTCTGTGTTCCTGCCTAAGGACAGCGTTTCCCTAACTAAACAAAAATCTGAGGCGAAAAAACTTTGTAAGAGGCTGAACCTCGAACAGCTGGGTAAGAAAATTGACGCTGGGAAACAGCTTAGTTTGGAGCTTTTCTTCGCAGCAAAGACGCACAAGGTAGATTGCCCTTTGCGTGTCATTGTTTCGGAGGCCGGTACTTGGCAGAAGTCGGTTGCCTTGTTCCTGCAAAAGAGTTTGAAGCTGTTTGAGATTCACGATCCTTTTCTCGTGAAGAGTTCCGATAATGTCATTTCTTTTCTTAAAGACAACCAGCGCACTAGCTTTATGGCCTGTTCATTCGATATTAAGGATTTGTATTACTCCTTGCCACATAATGGACTCCTTACCTGCATTCGTGACTGCATCGATGTGTTTGGTGTAGTTGCCTTTCAAAATGCTGCGGGAATTTCAGTTGAAGGCTTCATGGAACTCCTTGATATGTATCTGAGGTCGACCTTTGCGACTTGGGAGGGTAACATCTATTTGCAACGGCAAGGGGTATGTATTGGTTCTTGCATTGCCCCCGTACTTAGCGACTTGTTGTTAGCGAGCCTTGACCGCCTCATCTTTGAACGGCTTGGGGGAACCAAAGTTGCAAAGGTCTTCCGGTACGTAGATGATTTTCTGATTTTGTTTCATGCCGATGCCGTATCCTTTCTTTCGTCAGTGACTGACGTTTTAGGCATTTTTAGTCATTGCCTTTCGCCACTTGTTCTGACTCATGAAGTGCCTGAGGCAGGATGCATCCGGTTTTTGGATTTGAATTTAACTATATGTCCAGGTCATCTTTGTTGGAGCTATGAACCCCGTGCTGGAAAGCCATTGTTGCCATTCGAGTCCGCTCACTCAAAAACTGTCAAGCGGGCGATTGCAAGGACTTGCTATACACATGCGCTGCGTAGGTCTTGTTATCATAAAATTAAACATAGCTTTGACAGGCAAACTGAACGCCTCGCAGATGCTGGGTTTCCCTCTCACGTGTTAACAACGGTCGCCGAGTCTTTGCTGAAAGATATCAAGAGCAGCCCTATGAGAAGTGAAGAAGAGGCCAACAACAGAAAGGGAAGGGAAAGAAGAAAGTTTGTGGTTATTCCCTACGTACACGGCCTGTCCCACAACCTAAAACGCATTGCTGGCAGGTGTGACGTCGACGTTTTATTCTCTGCCCCGGACAAGCTGTCCAGGTTGTGCAGAGCTGTTAACCCTTCTTCGAGGGCGGCCACGGCTTGCAGTACGAGGCATCGAGATCGCTTCGTCCCGTGTTCGGAGGGGGTTGTTTATTCTCTCCCTCTGACGTGTGGCAGGCGCTACGTTGGCCAGACGGGCCGCTGTCTCAACGACAGGTTGAGAGAGCACGCTTACAGTGTCTCCACAACCGTGTCTGGTCACCTGGGCATTCATTGCCGCGACTGTGGTTGCCTTCCCGACTTCCAACGGTGTGAGGTTGTTAAGCGTCATAGGGACCAGCTTACTCGGGAAATTCTAGAGGCTGTTGAGATAGCGAGGCTGGGTGCAGCATGTGTAAGCAGTCCTTCTGTGGCCCTATCAGGCAAAGAGATGAATTTTCTAGTTCCGTGACTTGCTCGATTTTTAGCACATACTCTGTACGGCTGTGTCATGGCGCATTTCATTATTATTTTTTTCAATGTTTTTTTTTTTCAATGTTTTTTTATCATTGTTTTATTTTTATTGGTGATACATCACATGGGCTGAATTTTTTATGTTCTTTTGTTCGTGACACCGCAAATAAATATTGCGAGTTTGCGTTCAATAAACTCAGTTGTAAGTCAGCGCTACGTCCGTGTCACTTCTTTGTCTGGTCCTCGTCTTTCCGCGCTGTTTTTAATTTCCGAAGTATGTACCAACTCGCCCAAGCCTCAACTTTAGCACCTAAGTGGTCAGTCAGAATACTCCTATGTGATCAGTCAGCTATAAAGTTTACCATTTTCACCTTGTGCTTCGAAGAGGTCAGTGTCAACACGCATTTGGCTCCACTTGGGTTTAAGGAGCTATTATTTCAATCTAGTTACGCCACTTGCCTCCTACAAATGGCAATTTCACAAGATATTCCTTCATATATATTTGGTTCACACATGAGAACATGAAGTGTGCTACAAAACTGTAGAAAAACCAGTGATAAGAAACGTAACAAGCTCCCATAAATTAAATATTATACCTGGAGAAACTTCGCAAATGAATTCACAGCGTCGACGAGGTACAGAAATATTCGGAGATTTCAACCAACTTAAACGGTTGGCAAAGCCGACATCTAATATACAACGTATATAAGAAAACCAAAAGTTGGATATGTTTATCGGAACCGCATGCGAATCGCACAATACAATTTCACGAACCTACCTGCGCTCGAAAGTTTAAAATATAGCGAGAAGCAGCCACTGATCTCAATGGAAGCAGCCATTGAGTAAATGGCGAATAGTAGGAATTGAATGCATAGACAATCAAATGGTTGGTAATATAATGCACAAAATTGTAAAATATTTGAGATAATTATTTTAAACTGAGTCTTGCATAAATATTATGCCAGTATTTTGAAAAAAGGTTTTACTCATATTCACTGCCGAACGTACTCATTCACTGCCGAATCACTGCCATTGTTCGAGCCGAGCTGAGCCTTTTGCCGACTCATTCGGCGTCCATTGGCTCGCGTGCTTCGTTCGTCATATGTTTTGTTTTTGTGGTAACCTCCAAACACTCCAAGGACCGAAAACGAGCCCCAGTATGAATGGATTGCTTTCGTCTCGATGCAAGGAAGCGGTAAGTGCCACTCTTGATATTATAGCTGTGTTAAGCGAGTCGATTTGGCGGTTGTGGACATATGAAAAAAAGGAGGACGTGGAGCTTGTGCATTGTACATTCAGATTTTTCTTCTTTTAATTCTTTTTAGGGCAATGGCGAGACGGCTTCTTCATGACACGGCAACACGGTTTCTCAGCATGTAAAGGTTTAACAGCAAACCTCGAAGATGCTCCGGGCCGCCAGAAGCACTGATGTGTAAAGGAAGACGGAAGGGGCAATAAAATGATACGGCCAATATCAATTGGCTCGCGGTTGCCCTTGACATAGTTCAGAACATAGAACATCTGAGCACGAGTGAGTATTGAGGTGCCCGACCGATTACCACTTGGATGTCTGGCGGCTGTCCACTGGAGATTCGTGGATCTTTACTGAATGTCCACCGGATGTCTGTGGTTGGTTGGCATTTACAAATGGTTTATGACACTGGCACCACCTACAAGTGGTACCACTTGCAAGTGGATTATGCAACCGGCCCCACTTGCAAGTGGTACCCCCTACAAGTGGGTTATGGAACCGGCCCCACTTGCTAGTGGTACCACTTGCAAGTGGTTCCACTTGCAAGTGGTCCCACTTTGAATTTTCACCTGGGATGGAAGAGCTGCCCAATCCAAAAAGCAAAAGAAAAAGTACAAAACAAAAAAGAAATATATACTACTCATTGTGTTGGCAAAGTCAGCTTTTGCTGATCTGTCTTCAGACAGACTATGTACACCTAATTAATTGACAAACGAAACTGACTAAAGAGTTTGTGTGCTTTGAACAACCACCAAAGGACGCGTCGTGCTGTAATCGAATCTGGCTCGCAATGGCTCGGTTCCAGTGGATGCGAGGGGTTTTCATTTCCAAAGCAAGTTTCCAATCGAGTTGCTCTACTAACACTGGCCTGCTTGCTGCTCAGTTTCCATAAAACGATATTGGTACAGTTCCATCTTGATCCAGCACTACACTTGAGGCATTGACAACAGGCACTTTGGGTCCAAATCAGTGTGTATTCACATATTTATCAGTTTTGAGAAGAAACCACCGTATGTCCTTGAGGTAAGCTACTAAGCTACATGTTAATAAAATTTAATTGCAACTTAGAAAATTATTGGAATCGAAATTACTTACGGCAACTTAAAAACTGTTAATCAGTTACTCGACGGAGCCGGAGGCAACTTACCCTGGGGCTCTTGCCTTCGCGGAAGAATATGTCGTGGTTGAACTCAAGCGGGATCCTAGAGTCATTCCGGTTGTAGGAAAAGCAGGTTTGCTGCAAATGTCATTGCCATCAGTCACTGCCGTGAGCCTTCTTGCTTCCTCACTAAACACAGGTTTTTCAAGAATTGCGTTCGAAAGGAACTGAAATCAACCGAATTGAACATGACATAGCCTTCACAACAAGGACCTTGAAGGCGTAAAGTTTCATTCATCGTTATGTTGCAAGTGACCCAGGGCAGCCAAACAAGAGGGGACAAATATAACCCAACAGTTATAGAGCAGTTCTGGCAAGACAATACCAATAAAAACAAAGTGACAACAGTGCTTCTAATCAAAACATTGGAACACTCACACACACAAAAAAAGTACACATTAATCCAAAGGTATTGTTGCAGTTAAAAAAATTTCAAAAAATGATGTGCTAAGTGTATTGGCTATTAGAAAAATACAATGTGTGCAGCATGACGGAGCAGCTATAGTCACTGGCCATACTCTTTTTGTCAGCAACTATTGACATTGACATTGATGCTGTACTTATTGAAGATGCCTCCTGCATAGGAGGCGATACATAAAATTGTTTTAGAGCACAGCTCTTAGGCGCCTGTTTCCAGCTTGAGTGGCGTTGCTGTCGGCATAACTGCGTGGTGCATTATGGGGAATGTCCCATAATGTACTACGCCAAAACGTTGTGCGACGTTTCGGCACGGTGCAGAAACGTCACCGTGATGTTTCGGTGGAAGTCATGTGCAAAACGTCACCGTGACTTCCACCGAAATGTCACCGCGCCGAAACGTCACGTGACAACACGCGTTGCACACGTGAAAGCAGCAGGAGCGGAGGAGCAGAGCCGTATATGTAAAAAGTTTGGCCATTCGTTGGGAAGTATAGGAGATAAATGAGGAGGCACCTTTGGCCGAAAGCGGGATGGGCGTGTTCCAGGGCATCTTCAGAAATTCGAATGTGACCAACCAGAAGCCAAAAATAATACCCTGGCGGTGGTCACAAGAAACAAACTTGATAAGTGCGTCGGACTAACTCTCGGTGACTGAAAAAAATGGTGCATGTGATGTTTCAATCACGGTCATCCAAAATCATGGTGGAAGAGTGCGATTAGCAGAACGATCGACATAATCCGTACGCCAAGCGCCGGGAATCTGCCGTCCGAGTGATCATACTCTGTCCAAGCAGAACAGAGTTGAGCGGTGCATTCGTCTCTTACATCTTTCTGCACGATCATGATCAAAATATCACGTGTACGCTATCTTCAACCACAAAGGGTTGCTACACTTAACTTCGAAGCGCTTATTAAAACTATATACAAACATATACCTTTGATTAAAACAGTTTCTCGCTACCACCGCTAGGGGATTCTTTTAGGCTTCTGGTTGGCCAAGAGACCATGCCAAGCCCACTTTTTGCGTCTGGTGCACGCCCTGACTCTGCCCGCGCCTCCCATTGACCAAACCCTCTGTATAGATGGCTCTGGGGAAGAGGAGAGCGTATAGATGAGGAGGAGGGGCATACCCTCACCTCAGTACCCTCCCCTCCTCCTCCTCAAGAGCTGCACTCTAAATCGGCATTACAGGAAGTTGTAAACGTCTAATTTTTTTGAAGTTATGTGAAGTCAGTGTTCTTACTTTAATTAGCAACTGTAGGGCGTGCAAGCTTGTCTGCTCTTTCTGCACCTCGTGCATTTGTTTACTCCTAAGATGAGGCCACATGCTCTTGTCCCCTCCCTTCCACCCCACCCCACCCCCTCTTCCTCCTCCTCCCCCCTTTGTAAACCATAAATATCCTTGGAGGATATCCCACAATGGTAAGAATTCTTACCATTGAGAAGAGGGGGAAGGGACATTCATGTCCCGATCCCTGACGGGATGTTTTGGAGCATCCTAAAGGTCCAAGAATGTGGCCCCAAAAGGAATTTTCTGGGACATCCTCGGGATCTTTCATGAAGATGTTATTGGGATATATATACCATTTGATATATATCCCTAGTAGCACACATAGTTCTGTGATGTCCTTAGGATGTCCTAGCATTCCGGGGACGTCCTGTGGACGTTCATAGGACATCCCAGATTGTTAGGACATCTTAAGGACATCCCAAGGATATTCACAGAACTAGGCGTGCTACTATTCACCCCCCCCCCCCCCCCCCCTTTTAATTAAATAGAGGGAAGTTTGAGTACTGATAACTAACATCCACAGAGGGTTATAGAGGCGGAATATGCCCGCTCTTAGCACACGGCAAATCTTTAACTGATTAGTGGCTTTAGTGTTATTAAAAAAAATGGACTGATATTAATTATCTGACCATAAATGTAGATAAAATGAGGTCTATCATATTTCGATCTAATAACAAACCATTAAATATCACTGCCCACATCTACCTGGATACTAAGCAAATTGAAATAGAGTTGTCAAAACTCTAGGTGGTGTCTTTTCTGAGCACCTAACCTGGGACCATCACATAAACCACATTCATTCAAAAATTAACAAAGCTAATGGTCTTCTAAACAAATATCGACATATTCTACCAATAAATGTTAAGAGAACATTAAGCAATGCATTCATATAGCTAAACTTAACATACTGCCTATCCATATGGTGTACAACTTAACACAGCCTCCTTACAATAGTACTAAACCAAAAGAAGGCCATATGAACTATCGGAAATGTCACATGGTATACTCACACAAACACTTATTTTACAGATTTCAAAATACTAAAAATTTATTTACTCTTGAAATACAGACTTCAAAATACTAAAAATTTATTTACTCTTGAAATACAAATTTCTATCACTGTATAAGGCAGTGAAAACTAGTAACAAATTGCTATCCTTGATTTGTTAAACCTTAGAAGGAACATTCCACAATATAACACTAGACATACAGAAAACTGAAACATCCAATTCTGCAGATCATCTTTAATCAATCCATTACATATAACCTCTTACTAAATGAGTTAATAGAACATACCATAACACCAGATATGCTTTCTGTAAAGTTAACACCCGATATGCTTTCTGCAAAGTTAATTATAGCAGTATTGATCTCTATATATTAATACAGACTCAAAACTATGCTTAGTTACTAATTGTCTGATTAATTAATTTTCTTCCTGAATGTATATAGTACTACTATTATTTGTGAACATTATAGACTGCCCATTCAATATTTTCCTACAGAGTCACATATATTTTTATTAAAGTAAAAAAATGAGACTGCTCGAAACTGAAACATCTGCACGGAGGCTCGGAGGAGAGAGTTGCTGGAAGTCACGTGGCTATCGCTTTCTACCCAGTTTTTTCCCCCCTCCGCTTCTCGAGCGAGTAAAGCAGACAATGACAAAGAGGACGTTGCTTGAACCGTTTGTTGTGCAATTGTTTCACAATTATATCTCTTCCCCCTCAATGTTTCGTGCTTGAAGATCGATTGGCCGGTATAATGAACCACAGTTCCGAAGGTCAGGTTCCAGACAACTGCGGTACGGCCAGACTCAAACCACTTCATAAGAACGGAAACAAGCAGTGCATTCAAAATTACCATCCAAATTCATTGACTTCAACAGCGCTGTGTGTGTCTACCGCCTTCTACTCTGTCCTTGTCCTTGCGCTGTTTGTTTTCCGCTTCAACTGCCTGTAAACTTCTTGAACATATAATGTATAATCATTTATCAAAATTCCTAGACGAACACAACATCTCGACTAAAATTCAGTATGGATTCCGAAAAAATTTCTCAACATGTACTTAATTAATTGAGGCTGTTCACAATTTCTCCTCCGCAATAAACAATGTAAAAAAAAAAAAATTGGTGCTATTTCCATGGATTTTTCCAAGGCGTTTGATAAGGTCTCTCACAAAAAGTTACTATAGGGAGTATTCACTGGCGGCCATATCCGTGTGCGCTGCTGGTGAGCGCGTGCCGACGGCAAGCTTCCGCAGTCCTTTTGGAGCGTGCATTTAGCACCATCGAGGTTGCCGGTCTCAGCAGGCTATTCATGTGAGCTCGTTCTGAGCATGCGCTCTAAACATCGCCCTCAAATATGGCGTCCAGTGAATACCTCCTATACCTACAATTCATAGATTATGGTGAACATCGCTCTGACAGACTTTCTGTTGACTCTAGCGTTCCCCAGGGCTCTGTGCTCGGACCTCTCCTTTTTTTTGTTGTTTATTAATGATATAGTACACAGGGGTGGAACTCATGAAATGTATTTAGGAGCAGCCACGGGAGCAGCTGAAACCGCCGTTCTGGAGCAGGCTGGGAGCAGCTAAAACTTCATTCTGGGGCATTTTAGGAGCAGCTCAGATCAGTTTCCATTGCACTTCACCTTGTGTCTTAGACGAGCACGGGAGCAATTTCAATTCTGCTTAGCAGCACAGATGAACATGAGTGGTTGGGGACCTAGGTAGATGGGATAACACTGTAACAGATGCGAAAACTTGAAACTTTGTGAGCCTTAATGAGAACCAAAAAGCAACTACCATATGTTTCTGAAGATGGTGTCCTTGATATTCTCTGAGTGGTATTCAGCTGTTCAAGATGCAAATCAGCACTGCTTATCGCACAACCCACACGTGCTCGACATAGTAATTATATGTGCGAACCTCTTGACGTGCGAAAGCAACGGACGTGCAGTTGCGTGGAGGAACAGGGAAACAAATTTCGAGTTTATCCTATTGTGCAACTCAATACCGAAGCAGCAGACTACGATTAACGGAGTTGTCGTATTCGAAGCGATTAGCAGGAGCAAGGTTAAAGAACGCCGAGCAGGTCTACCGCTCGCGTGAGAGCTGCTGGCCGGCAAGGTTTCGGATCGGACCGCGTTTCAGTCCTATCAAATCACAATTTATCTTACGGGAATGCAGTTCCAAATTCTAACGATGAAGTGCTAAAAGGAATATTTTGCTCATTTGTTTTCAACTGGCTGACGTCCGGATCCCGGGCCGCAGAGCCTCAGGCAATCTGACGCTTAACGACTCGACCTCACCTCGGCCGACTTGCTTAACCGCTTATGGTAGAAGAATAACAATCCAGTCGCAGGTG